TTTTGAGATGCTATGGCTTGAGCAGTCTCGTTGGCTATTATTCCTAAAGTTATTGAAAGATTTCTAATCATGGATTTGTGGGCTCCCACTCCCTACCAGGGAGGTAAGGTCCTGTCAAATGTTGGCCAAAAACATTCTTCCTGATAGCCAGAAATATTGGAGAGCTTCCCCCTTTTGAGTCATTTAAATAAATTTAAAGAAAGCTAATTAAATTTTATATGTACAAAGGACATGGTTCAAAACAAGTGGAATGTTAGAAATACAAGCAAGTAAAGTGGAAGACAAAGATGCCCGGAAGTGAGTTGTGCATTATTTATCTTTTGTTAGTTATCCTTTAAATAGTTAGACTTGAGATGTTAGGGGTCTGCATGAGCATTCCGACTGTTGGGACATATCTATGGCCAGGACATGTCCCCCTCTGATTTCTGGAAGCCTTCTGAATGAATTTTTGTCGGCAGTGGGACCATCCTGGGTGTTTATAAGAGCCGATCAATTTAACAGAGAAATGGGTTGTTAAAAGAATCTAGTAGGGTCCCACCCACTTGGACTCAAGCTGATCATCAATATGTTTGTTTTTCCATGGTTTTAATAATATCCAGTTTCTGGGATGGGTACAATGGAGAGGTACACCAGTTAGGTACCTCATCCTGCTAGAAGCAAACTTAAGAATAGGTATTAAAGTTAGACCTAAGGACTGCCTGTAAATGACAAAAAACTTAAATGGCATGGTTATAGATCTGATTAAAATGCAGTTGACAGAGAAATCTGCTTTTCTCTGTAACATAACATTTTAAGATAAATGAAAATATTATACCAGGGCCGGCCGAGTGGCTCATTGGTTAGGAGTTGGCTTAGGATGCCAGCTCTGAGCAGTAGGACCCTGGTTCGGATCCCACATGAGGGACAGTGACGCTGCGCCCTCTACAGCTAAGATTGTGAACAACAGCTCAACCTGGAGCTGGGCTGCCGTGAGTCGCCAGCAACAGCGTAGGCTGCAGTGGGGCTGGCCAGCAGCGGGCGTGAGCTTTCGTGAGCCGCACTGAGCGGCTGTCCAATGGCCAGCGAGCGACTGCCTCACCCGGGAAGAGCGCAATGATAATACCAACATGGGCCAGTGAAGCGACGTCCACCACAACTAGACTGAAGAGCAAAAGGACAGCAACTTGTGTGTTCCCCTTCCTCGATTCCCCAACGCTGTTCCCCTCCCCCAAATCCCCAATAAAATCTTTAAAAAAGAAAAAAGAAAATATATCAGAACATTGTAGACTCTTGGAGATTATAATCTCTAGAACATTCATTTAGTAATAAGAATATATACATACAAATACAACATAATTATTTATTTGACAAAGCTTCTCATGTAATTTTATTAAATCAAATAGACCTGATTATTTTAAATTTTATTTTATAGAGGGAGAGAACAAATCTTTGAGGAATTCCAAGGACCCACTGGAATAACCCAAAGCCATTTCCAGGTTAAGAAAAGCCTCCTTTTAAACCCTAACTCTGGGAAGTTTGTCAAAATATATCAAAAGTTTTGAACATTTGACTGAATAGGATCATAAGTCATTATTATGAAGCAATACTTAATTATCCATTGAATCAAAGTGATAATAAAAGACAAATACAGAAGTTCACATAATTGTCAGCAAAATTTAGTTCTTACTATTAAGGAAATTTGGTTTTTTTAAGTAATCAAGGACCTGATTAAGACAACATAAAACACAGAAAATTATTTTGATAAAACATAGAATCTTTGCTTTTTAGGCAGAAAACTTTTTCACAGTATCAGTAGCAGACCAATAGTCCAAGAAACTCTGTCCTTTTTAGCAGAGAGAGAAAAGCAAACTAATTTTGCATCAGCTTACTTTTGATATTTCCTTTCTCAGGATTCCTTTTCCACATCCCTTCTACAACTTTCTTCCTCCCCCCGCCCCTTCCCATTCTGAAACTAGCCTCACTTCAGGACAAAAATATTTTCCTTTCCCTCCAAAACAACAACAACAAAAAAAACCTCCGTAATGTATGCCTTTCTTTACTGAAAACATTTTCATATTAATTAGAATTCTTAATTCTTAAGAAACCTTAATTTCTAGTGACAACTAAAAGAATGAGCAATTAGCATTCTTAGATTGGTAAATATATGAATACATTTCATAGCCTCTAGAAAAGCAGGCTTTTGTTGGCAATTATTTACAATTTTTTTTTAGAAACGTGTTTTTTTAATAAAGTACTTTTGTTAACAGGGCCAAATTTATCTTTTAGTTTCTCAGTAATAAGCTAAAAGTAGGTAAACTTAGACTTACCTAGCAATCAATTTTTCAGTATTTCATGTTATGTGGAAATATCTAGATATTTAATAATTTTTATTTAACTTAGTAAAACTCTCAAGTTTCAAGTTACCAAAGAGATTTGGAAACCCATTTAAGTACCCATACTATATAATTATTGCTAAAGAGTTAACCTGAAAGAAACGTAACCCCATTTACATTTTTTAAAATTTACTGGCTCCTAACAAGTTTAGATTACTTATTAAAAGTAATATGCAAGGGCCGGTCGAGTGGCACGATGGTTAAGAACTGGCTTGGGATGCCAGAGGGCCCTGGTTCGGATCCCACATATGAGGGCCAGTGACACTGCCCTCCACAGCTAAGATGCTGA